AAATTAAATTAAAAAAATAAAAAAAAATTGTAATAAATTGAAATAAAAATAAACGTGAAGAGCAAAAGTAAAAATGAAACTTAGAAATACAAATAGAATTAAAAAATAATTATAGAAAATAAAAATCAAAATATAAACACATAAATAGAAAAAAAAAATAGAAAAATATTAAAAAAAAAAAATAATAAAAAAATTTTGTCTAAAAAATTTTAATTTTTTTTTCGTTTTTTTTTTTTCAAAAACCAAAACTTTGTCGAACTAACTATTTTTTGGCCGAACAGTCGAAAGCCACTGAAAATTCTGCATGCGACCTGGGTAAACCCCTTTTTGCCGCACTGTACCTACTAATATCGACATTCACCAGCAGAAAGCCAAAGCACTAAGTCTCTTCTGTCATTAGTATAACAACCCGCGTAATAACTGAACACTGACTGTTGAGGCCGTATGGTGGGAGAATGGATGTCTTAGTTCTCTAATGACTTCAGTCGCAGTTACTGGGCCATAGACGTGGAAAAAATTGGTAGAACTCTCCTAGGAAGTTTTCATTTCGACCGACTTGCATAACTTATTCCAGTAAATGTCAAGAAGCTCGTGAGAAAACGCACTTAATGGTTTGAACATCTAGGAAGGCGAGAAGAGCCTTTCTTCTCAGGCCCCGCATGGAATATATGTACAAATCTCGAATTCACCATTGAATATACAGACCCCTTCTGGGGGTGATTGACCAGGATTGTGCTGCCAGAAACCTTGAGGGCTGATCTTCCTGATGAACGGCTCTGGGCTTTGTGATAGGGTTCGTGGAGTAGTGTTCTGCCCGGATCTCGCAATCGCCTTCTATTTTAGGCTTTTGACTAAAGTCTCGTGGGAGCCCCTCCGGCAACCCGTGGTCTTTTCCTGAACAGATAAACCTCACCTTATTGAATGCTCTGTTAGTAGCCAGACGTACCCCTTCTGCGGAGATCGCAGAAAGTCGGAAAATTTTCCAGTACTTATGACGTCACAGCTAGGTTGGGGAACTTTCAGTGGTATACTTCCAGTAAATCTGGAAATCCATTCTGAACCATTTTACAGGAGCTGCATAGAGTATGGCGAGGTGGAATCATCCCTGCACTTTCTCCTTGACAGACCTCGTTTTGAGAGACAAGGGCTCAAGTGTTTTCGTAGAAACAATTGAGCTTGTAACTGTTTATTGTCTATCCATTGCTAAGAGAAATATTCTTGCCTTTTCCGCTAAAAATTTTACGAACCCATCAGCTTTTCTATGCTCAGCACCTAAATATGAACTCAGCCAACATCAGCAAGCCAAATCCAAACCAATCAAGTAGCCTACATGACGTGCATATTCTCTTTTCACATATCCGTATATATATACATATGTATTCAGCTTGCTGTTGCTCATCCCGTTCGCTCTATCCTCAGGGCTTTTTAATCTCCTTACTCACGCCCGCCGTCCCTCGTCGCCGCCTTAGAGTTGATTGTACCCACTTGAGCTAATGCAAATTCTAATTGCGCTGCTGAGCTGCACGAGGAGGAGATGTGGAGTGAAATATACGCTGCGGTCGTCGATCTCTCGAAGAATTTTGCATATTCTTAGCTTTTTATTTCACACTTTTGGTTGCCTATTAGGTGTGTGTTTGGTGTGGTTGTTGTCGTCTTAAGTACACGCCGACTTATATGACTATGTCGCCTCGTAAAACGTCAGACAGACTCGTCGCCAAGTTGGCCGTGGCTGTGGGTTTTCCGTTGCCCCCAGTGCGCACTCCACGCCGTGTCCACAGTCTCAGTCTCCGCGCCAAGTGTAGTCTCACAGAGTGTTGGCCGTCCTGCTGTCGCCTCGAGTTGTGTTTGTTTGTTTTGTTTTGTTTTGTTTGTCTTCTACTCATTGGACGTGCAACATTTTGTTTTAATTGACAAGTGTGATTATTTTTAATGAAGTGTCAATGCGGGCTGCCTAGCGTACGCGCTGACTCGCTGGCTGGGTGTTGCTGTTGCTGCTGGTGAAGAGGCAACACCTTGCGGCGTTTTATGCTATCATAAAGGTGCTCTTTGGTTGTTGTCACAATAAGTGGCTGTGTGAATGAAAGAGGCGTGTTTGCGGCTTGTCTATTTCGTTTAATTAGTCGTTCTTCCACAGACTGTCTATAAAATGCAGACATGCGTTATTGCCGTGCAAATAAATTAAAGTAAACAATGGAATGCTTAAGACTATTTCTAGCGGTGTCTTGGTGGTGTGCTCTGTGCGAGAGGTGCAGTTTCGCGGACTCCGTTGTAATGTCTCGAGGAGGCCAAAGCTTCCAACTCGGATGGGCTCTCCGCTATTGATGTCGTATCATTTTAGCGTCGAACCAGCTAAGGAACTCTTTTGGTATTATCCAGTCATTAATAACGGATTAGCTTCGTAGCTGCTCGTCGAATATTCGAAGTATATGTAAAATTATCTTCTTCCAAAGATCTCTCGGCGTGAACGATCTCAACAACTAATGAGTCGGCTTTGGCAGATAGAGAAAAGATTTGCGAATGATTTACCGTCCTTTGTGCATTGGTAACGGCGAATACCGCAGGCCATTGAACGAGAAGCTGTACGGCTACGCTGGCTAGGTCATGTTGTCCTAATGGATGAAAGCACTCCGGCTTTGGAAATATTCGATGCAGTACCCGCTGGTGGAAGCAGAGGAAAGGTAAGACCCCCATCAGGATCAGGTGTAGAACGACCTGGTTTTCCAATTGGTGCCAACGCCAATAAAGAAGCAGAAGAAAGATGTCTTGAAGGAAACCATGCAACTATATTTCTCTCCGTGGAAATCTATGAATGCTCTCTGTAGAATGGAAATTCATATACCAAAGCTCGATGTCGATGTTCGAAGAACAATTCGAAGGAGGGATCTGATGTACTCGCAACGAGTACGAATACTTCACCTGATACCAAAAGCCATAGCCGAGATGTGTAATGGCCTACAGCCCTTTTGCTTTCTTCTAAGGTCTTTTAGAGATCCCTGGAATTTATTCTCCTAAGCGCCCTTACAGAAAAAGTCTTTTGGCTTTTTTGGAGGGAAGAATATTTGAAATTATTTGATTGATTTGATCTTGGTCACTCTCCCATCTCCATTGATGGCTCAGCTCAACAAAAGTCACGCACATACCCATACTCCGACACAACGAACTCTAACTTGTAGAATTTCAGCAATTTTTCAATTCCTTTTAATTTTCTCCACTCGAAACGTACACTTGTCATTGAAAAGCCGATTTCTCGGTATGTACGTTGTTGGTAATCGCATATCCTACCACTGACTTATCTCCCTCCTTCTTCAACTAAACATTTCCTCAAAGCTTAATACAGTCGACTCTGGCGCTCCAGCTCTTGGCTCAGTTTGTGTGCGCGTGCGTATGTGGGTTCGAGCTCATTATTGGTAAAAAGTACGAAAAAATAAGAGGCAAAGCAAGTGGCTATTGTAGAAAAATTAGATGCCTTCGCCACCACCCAACAACAGAAAGCCCAAACCAACAACAATAACCAGGCAAAGCCGTAGCGAATGTGGCGTTAGCAACTGTCTGCCATGGTCACACAGCACATGCGAGCATGTGGATTCGCATTCATTCGAGTGTATATACTGCCGAACCGACGGGCAGGCGAACCAGTAGTAACCGCAAATCCAATTAGGCCAAGTGTCAAAGGGCAAATTGGTAATTTTTTCCAGTGCAAGCACAAGTGCAGCTCCAACGGCAGCAGCGCCTGCCAGTCGATGACTGCGAGCATGTGTGCGTGATTGCGAGTCAGTTGGTCCGTTCATGCGTCCGTCTATCGTTCATCTAGCTTTGTTACCTCGGACGCTAATTAAACTTACTGGTTTAATGTGCTGCTTAACGGTACACTGCAAGAAAGCTAGAGAGGGAAGCGGGTGAACACCGGCAACTCTTCTTGACTGCTGTTGGCTTTAAGAAGCAACCAATGCCGCAAAAAAAACAAGAATATCGGGAAAATAACGTCCTTTGGGAAAATAGGCCACACACACATACACACGAACCACCGTTTTATGTGTGGTTTACTGCATACCTTCCTTCTCTTAACCACAGCCATAGCAAATATCGCGCTTGAGATATGGTTTAGCGTTTAAAGCGAGGCAGAGCCAACGCTCTTTTCTTGGGATTCGTCTTAAAGCCAAGGCGCAGCTTCAACACGACGCTTAATTGGGTAAGTATATGGTCTCAGCAGAATAAGAAGAAGATGTTCATACGTAGCTTTGGCTCAAAGTCATTCTAACTATTTGCGGTGGTGGACGATTCTGTGGAATTGTGACCTGAAACACTGTAGGGGATCGATAGCAAAATGGTACGTGAACTGATTCCGTTTCCTCAGTTACGAATCGTGGTGACCCCTTCATCAACGCAGTCTCATGCTGCCATCACATGGAGTGCACTAATTTCGCCGCTAAGTCACGTTCTAAGAAACAGTTCTTCACTCTCGGCTTACCTCGACCTGAGGTACCTACTCCAGCAAAAGCCAAATCGCTCGTCGAACCTTAGTGATAAAGCTCACTTTGGAGTGAATGCAAATTCACAGGAAATGAGTACATCTCGTTTCCATGATGAGTCTTTCGCGTCGTGTAGACTTCTGCTTAAGTAATATCCACCTTCAATGCACAAAGTCCCCCGAGTAAACTAGAATCCCAAAGTTCGTCTGTTGAGAAGTCGATCTCTGTAATTTGCTTTCGGTAAGCTCGGCTAATGGTTCGTTTCCCGAAGACACTTCGCTTTTTCCCGATGAACTCTCAGTTCTTCTCCAGCGAGCAAGCAGAATATCTGGCTTGCCACCACCACAATTGAGACTGCTCAGCTATTCGTTCTTGCCTTGATTTCTCCTGCAACGCCTACAGCTTTTTTTTATTAAATATAAATATTACAACAAACATTTTTTTCATATTTTTTTCAAAATTAAAATTTAAATAAATATTTAAAAAAAATAATGCAATTTGTTAATAATAATTTTTTCTGCTCTTTTTCAGATCGATAATTGCATTGTAAGTAAAAGATTAATTAAAAGGATAAGAAGTTATAATATCTTATTTATAAATTTAATTTAACTTTCCATTTTTAAAAAAATAAATATATAATATTTTAAAACATTTCAAATGAACTTAAAGAGAATTTAATGGAACATAAAAAAGTTAATGAGAGTATACGAACCTAATAATAATTAAAAATTAATAAATATAAAAAATTTAAACAGAAAAAAGTAAAAAAAAAAATTTTAAAAAAACTATTCGAAAATTATTAAATGGCCTAAAAAAAGGTGATTTTTGGGAATTTTCATTAAAAAAATACTTTATCAATTATTTCAATATTTTAATAATATAAGAATGTTTCAAGAACATACAGTGAAATTTTTGAAGAAAAAAAATTAAATATTTTTTAAGTTATAGTCGATCTCCAACGGCGCGAAAAAAACGGCCATCACTGCGGATGAACTCTAAAAAAAATTCTCCACTAAATAATATTGTCTGTACCAAAAAAAATAGTCGAATTTTACCCAAAATTTTGGTCGTTTTTGGCCTGCCAAAATTCGATTTTTTGATCATCAGAAAAATCGATAGATCGTTGTACGGAGAACTATATATAAAACATGTAAAAAAAAATCGATAGTGATCGGATCATTTGTTTTCCAGTAATCACTGCCGCAAACTCGGAAAATGCTGTTTCGAGAAAAATGCGTTTAAAGATAAAATGACCGTTTTCACTCGTAGCTAATGAGACTCTCTAGCTGCCGAGCGGCTGCTTTTTAAATTGCTATAACTCAAAAACTATTTAAGATATCGATTTGAAATTTTAATATGTTATTTTTAAAGGTGTAACCTACCGAAATGTGAAAAAGATCGATTTTCTGAAATTTCACATTTGGTGTGCCCCTTAAAAAAGTAACAAAATTAAAGAAATTAGAATAATTAATAAAAATTTAAAGTAATAATAAAATTTAAAAAACTTAAATAATGTAAAAAAAATTGAATTTAAAAATATTAAAATTAAATAATTAATAAAAATAAAAAATTAATAAATTAGTCTTGGATTTTGTGTTATTTAATTTCAAGCTAAAATTTATAAATATTTTCATTTCATGTGAATTTTTTTTTGTATGCTTTAAAAATATTTTATTATTACTCTTCACACTGCTGTCTGAAATATTTCCACAGCCACTCAAAAATTTCCCCTGAAAACTTGTGAAATGCATTTTTCGGGATCAATTCACATTAACGCATTTCTCCGCAAGCTTTCACTATAATATGCAAATTAAGGTATTTTAATTATATGTATATTAAATATTTATGCAAAAATGCAGTTTCAAAAAAATTTTTTTTATATTTGCATTCACATTTTTCTGCTACATCGCCATTATTCATGGCATTCTCGCGCAACAGCATAAATATTTACATTGAAAATAATTGGAGAGAAGATGGGAAGGAAAAATTCGCGTTGGTTTTTGTTGTTGAACGGACGATCCGGAAAATTCAAAATATGTCAATTGCATTATTTATATTTTAATTTGCCGTTGGAAAATATTTAAAAAATTGTAATGACTTCATTTTTGGCATAATTTAATTATGGAATATAAGAGAGAGATAAGAAATTAAATATTTATTGAAAATACAAGCAATATAAACAAAAAATATGCACACAAACAAAAACAAACAATATCTTTAGTGTGGTGTTGCATTTTTTTTTTTTTTTTTTTTTTTTTTTTTTTTTTTTTGAATCATAAAAAAAGAATTTCTTAAAGAAATTTTCCTTTCCCGAAAGGGTTAAAATTTCCATTTATTTTTTCAAATCTATTTTAACAAAAAAAATCACAAAAAATGCTTTTTATATTAATATAGTTTTCTTTTTTTGTCTTAATAAGCAAAAAATTATTTTCTTTTTAATAAGGCTGTGGCAAAAAAGCAAAAAAAAAAAAATGAGGGAAAAAATGTTTAACTTTCCCAATTTTCCAATAGCCGAGTGAGTGGATATTCATACACGTATGTACATATTCTGAACTACATATGCATACATATGTATATTTACCTCATGCAAATATGCTCACTTTCAAATGCAGAAATATACAGACACACACATACATTGGCATGCAAAATGCGCATTTATGCAGTGTTGCATTTTTATTAGATTTTCACTTTTGACCTGCGGACCGTCGCCGTTGAACTGATGTCTCTACTTCCTTGTTGTTTTTTTTTCCATATATATTAATTTTTTTTCTCAATAGTTTTCCTGTTTTTTTTGTTGCTTTAACTAGCATTTATTTCCTTTTTTATTTATTTTTTTATTTTTTGTTTTTCTTATTTTTTTCGTGCCTTTTTCCCAACAGCATATTTTTCGTCATTTCGTTTCATAGTTTTGCTGCGGGCATTGGAGAATATGCATGCAATGCAATACGAAATGATGCAAAAATAGATGCAAATTGGTTTCATATACGTGTACTTGTAAATGTGTGTGTGTGTGTGTATTTTTGTATTTCCTGTCAAACGATATCCTTCAACAGACATATATATTTATATATATATATAAATGTATGTGTGCGTGTGTGTGTAACAGCGTTAGCGGAAGAAAAAATGCTGGCAGCCAGCGAAAGAGCGCACATTTTAATGGAGCAACGAAAAACAACAACAACAACAGCAGCAGCGGCAGCGACAATAATTAAAAATAATATAATGCAGTTCATATTTCGCTGTTGCACCGTTATCACCAAACTCATACGGATTTTTTCAGTTTTATTTGTTTTAATCTCTCTACACAAAACTCTTCCTTTTCTTTCACTCTTCCTTTTAGCGGCTGACACGAGTTCACGTTCAAAACGAGTTTAAATCACGAAAATATTTTTATTTTATTGAATTTGCATTTAAGTTGTTGTTGTTGTTTTTTGGTTTTTATAAATTTCAGTGTAAGCAAACAAGTGCATGCAAACAAATATAAATATACCAGCAACAACAACAACAACTAAGGCATGTATATTTGCACCGGAAGTTGTAAACTTTTGAACACACAAACACGCTGAAACCTCCTCTGCGCCACCACAAATACTACGTGCATTGATTCTCTTGTTATAATAAATATATTAGTTTTTGTTGTTGTTTTTTGTTAATGTATTTTTTTCGCTTTTCAACAAATGACATTGACACAATAATTATGTAATTAAATGGCTGTTGTTGTTGTGTAATTACATATACACACGCATGTTTATGCACATACACATAAACATATACGTATGTATATATGTAATTCTACTAATATTTAGATAAATGGCACATTAATTACATACTGCATTATATAAAACTAAAAAATTAGCATAAATGGCATGATTGAGTGAAGATAGAGTATAAAGTAAAAAAAAACACACAAATATACAGAAATAAAATAGAAAAATTTGAATAAAATAAAATAAAATAAAATAAAATAAAATAAAATAAAATATATAAAAATTAACACACGAAAGAAAAATAAAAAATTCAGTTAAAAGGGGAAAAAAAAGATAAAAATTAAAATACAAATGATTTAAATAAATGGAAAAATAAATTAAAATAAGAATAAAATAAATAATATAAAATAAAATCAAGATAAAATAAAAAAAATAAAATAAAAGTAAAATAAAAAATATATAAAAATTAAAAAGTAAAAGAAAAACAAAAAAACCGTTAAGGAGAAAAAAATAAAAAAATTGAATATAAATGATTTAAAATATGTGGTAAATTTAAAAAAAAATAATAATAAAATAAATATAAAAATATAAAAATAAAAAATGCAAAATTAAGTAAAATAAAACAATTAAAAAATATTTTATGAAGTATGTGAAAGAGTAAAAAAAAAAGAATAATATAAATTAAGTTTAAATATATAGAAATTAAAAAAAGGAAAAAATTTACAATTAAAAATTTATGAAACTAAGTAAAATAAAACAAACTAAATACAATAAAATAAAGTAAGATAAAATTAATTGAAATTAAATAAAAATACAATAAAAAAAAATAAAAAAAAATTTAAAAATACTTAATAAAATAATATAAATATTAATAAAATAAATTTAAATAAATAAAGCAAAAAAAACACATTAAAATATATATAACAAAATAAACTAAATGCATTAGCCAATCCATCAGATGCTGACGCTAAAGCCATTGGCCAAATTTTAATACGAACGACTGAAACCGCGAAAGAGGAAATACTGAAGTTCACCAAATTGAGAAAATAAAAAATAAGAAATAAAAATAAGAAAAAAACCACTGACTCACCTTTTATGCGATGCTGATCACCAGCACCAGAACCGATCAGCAATCACCGATCGCATCAAATTCGATTTGGCGCAAGCTTTTACAGCAAGCACCAAAAAATAAGAAAGATGATCAACGAAAAAATAAAACAAAATGCGCAAAATGAAATATAAACAAAAGTAACTAAAGATCTTGTGTGCTGATCGTGTGATTATTTCAAATTATGAAATGCCCAGCAAACAATTCCGCTCAACAAGATGATCGTGCAGTTTGTTTTCGCCCAAACTCAGCACATTACAACGGCTGTGTAAACAATGAAATTATGAAGGGGAAAAATGATTTGAAAAGAAATTAGTAATCAAAAAAATATATAGAAAATTTCGTGATGCGCAGCCCTTTATGAAAAACCAACAAAACCAAAACAAAAACCGGCAGGCGTGATCATGACTCAATATATTTAGTTAGAGAAGTGATCGTGTTGCGGCGATCGAACGATCGATTAAGATCATGACGAAAGAAAGAAATCAACTTTTTATTATTTGTTTTTATGGTTAAATAATTTTTTTTTTCTTTTTTAATTTTCAATTTACAAATACCCACTGCGGTTACGCCGATCGTGCAGCTGTGGCCGTAAAATTAAATACATATTACAAGCCTGCAAATTATAGCAGGCATAACAAGCAGTTATTTCCCTTTAAGAATGTTTTTTTTTTATTTGTTTTTATTTGTGCTTTTTGCATTCACACTGCGTTTATCAAGCGAATCAAGTG